AACGTTGTGGACGACGTCCACGTTCAGGTCGTGGGTACCCGACGGTTTGTGGCAGACCAGTTTGGACGTGCTGGTCGAGCGTTGGCCAGTGGTTACCAAAGGCTGGAGCTTGTGCTTGCAGAAAAGAAAACACACTTCATCGCGTCGTCGTTGGAGCTAGCGGAGGACCTGTCCAGCAACTGGGCGGGGCTGCTCTTCTCTCGGAAGTTCTACAAAATCGTTGGGTACTGACGCGCATGCCAGCAAAAAGAGAGTGATGACAACTGCTTCCAAGAGAGTGAAGAAAGGTTTCCGACGGTCGTACAAGCTTCAGAAACTCAAAAGCGCGGGAGCCAAGGTTGGAGGCATCCAGAGGGCTGGGCCCCTCGCGACGGCCTTGTGGGGCTCGGGCGTTTCTGGATTGTCGGTGAAGCAGTTGCTTGGCCTCCGCCGTTCAAATGTACATAGTTTACATAAGGTTAAGAGGGGGGCCTCAATAGGACTCAAATTGGGGACCACCAGTGTGGGCCGCCTGATGGACCCACAGAGGCTTTATCATGCTCAGGTGGTGGGGCACTGGGCTAGGGCAGTTTGGCTAGGTCGGCCTCCCCTACATATCCTCGAGAGCACTTTGGGGGGGGCAGCTGCAGACCTCAGCCAGGCTCAGAATCCCTGGAATGTTGCTTCCAGCCCGGCCCATATAGACCTACTCACCTTGCAGCAGCTAGGATGGCAGGCTCCCTCAGCGGCCCAGGTTGTCATTGATACTGGGGAGACTGTTGACCTTCGCCAGCTCGGACCCAGACAGGTCCAATGGATGGCGGCCCGAGCCGCCAGTAGCCTGTCGGATGTTATGGCGCTCGCAAGGTTGGACGAATGTGGTTGGGTCCGCCCCGTGTTTTGGAAGCCCCTTGTACAGCTCCTGTCTGGGCCCACCACTGATGACTGGACTGAGCGACACAAGGAGTCGCTCCGATCACTTGTCAGCCAGCAGCAACGGTGCCAGGCCAAGCAAGCCAGGCACGGCAAGGCGGAGACAGATGTCTGCAAGTTGCGCTGCAAGTCTCCTGGGACGGTCTGGCATCGCCGAATCCATTGTGAGCATTGGCGCGACCTCCGTGATAAGTATGTCTCTCCTGGAATGCTCATAGCGGCTGCGGCTATGCAGCTCACTGGTCAGGACCTGGACAAGGCCGCCTGCGGCATTTTTCCTTTTCCCCTGGAGCTGGTCCCTCGGCCCCTCTGGGATTCGGAGTCCGAGGTTGTCTGGGTTCAGAAACCAGAGTGTGGCTTTAAGACTGGATCGTTTTTTTTTTTTTTTTTTTTTTTTCCCCCTCGGATGGCTCGGCCATCTTTCTGACCTGCTCCCTGGCAAGGAGGGCGGGCTGGAGTCTTGTGCAGCTGGGTGATGAAGGTCAGATGTTAGCCGCCGCGCATGGTCCCGTGCCGTGGCACCTCGGTCCGTTCCAAGCTGCCCGCGATGGTGAAGATGTGGCCATTTTAGTGGCAGCGCGTGGGCTGGTGCAGAGTGATGTCACCTTCTATATTGACTGTCAGGGTACGGTCGATTGTGTCTCAAACCCAAGCCGCGCTTGTAGCGCTGCCACTCCCAGATGCCATATCTGGGAATAAGTCTACCGTAGCCTGCCTGATGCGAGGGCGGTCAAGGTGAAGGCCCATCTCCCGTACAGCGCGGCGACAGAAGGCCGCATCTCGGATTTCTGCTGGGCTGGAAATAGGGCGGCGGACATCTATGCTGGTAAAGGTGCCGCTCTCCACCCCGATCCCAGCCCAGGGTATGATGCGCTAGATAGCCTCCAGGAGGCCGCCAAAGGCTTCGCCAAGTGGGCTGCCATCCAGGAAGTCCACATGGCTGAGGCTGAGGCCTTCGACTCTCTCCCGCTCCCTCCTCCTCGGCCTCGGGACGGGGGGGGCGGGGTGGACGGGGGGCGACGGGGGGAGGGAACCCATGTGCGCCCGAGGGCGCCGCGACCGCCGGCGATCCAGGCCCGATCGCAGCGGCGGCGCATCCTCAGCCCAGCAGTGGCTGGCGAGCTCGAGGCTTTCGCCGTGCTCCAGGGGCGCACGATCGAGGAGGCCAGTGTCTTTCTGGGGTCGGGCCTCCCTCCTCCCCCCCCCCCAAGAGTAGCAAAGTCTTTATCTGCCGCTCCCGTGGTGGATTTGCATGGGGTGGAATTCAATCCCTGGCGAGGCGGTGCGACGGCCGCCCCACCACCACCACCACCACCACCGTCACCCGCCAGCTCAAGCGAGCGGGAGAAGGCAAGTTGCCTTGTGGCTCCAAACAATATGCTGGCTGGACCGTCGGGCCTTGGAAGGCCACCTCGCCCCAGGCCTTGATGGGCCTCCTCGCGCCCAAGGTGCGGCATGTTGTTCTGGACCAAAACCTGCCTCGGGCTTCCATCGAGATTTGGGGCCCCTGGCTTGAAACTGACCCTTTGCTGGCGCACTTCGGTCTCAACACTGATCGCCTTGATCAGATGAACGCCGAGAGACGCGCTCTTCTCGAGCAGAAGCAGCGTGAGCGCGCTCGAGACACCCGCCAATGAGTGCGTGTGCTGTGTGCTTCAGCTCTCATGGGTTGTGTGTGTGTGAATGCCCCTGGCGCGCATACTCTTGGTGAATGAATGAGGAGGCGGAGGAGGAGGAGGAGG